GCAGAATGGATGTTTCTGTTTTGCATTTAGGCAAATCCAGGTCCAAAGTAAGGAGGCAGTGGAGCTTGAACAGTAGAAAAGGATGATTCATTGAGAATGGGCGTGCACCTGACGTTGCTTATGTGGTCAGGTCCCTTATAGGGGCAGCCTCTTCCAATTGCATATCCAGCCTGGGGAGAATCACTCAAAGGCTTCCGTTTCCTCTGATGGATATGGGAAATCTTCACAGTAAAGGTAGGATTTTAAGACATTTAGCATTATGGCTCAAGTTTGGCTGCGTGGTGGGATGCTCTGGAATTTGACACAGATTGGGAGATTTAGTATTGAGAATTGGAAGGAACTTTGTGTAGATGGCAGGGATGGGCAGGAAGATATATCAGCGAGTACTGCGTTGCTATTAGTGTGCTGGTAAATGGTTAACAATCAGCTCTCAAAGCAAACAACAAAAAACCCAAAGCCCTGATTTATATATGTTGTTTTTTTTTTAATTTCCACAATACAAATATCCCACCAAGGCAGATTTCAGATTTTAAGCTACCAACATGATGTCCCTCACAGCAGAGCTGGAAACAGATGTGTGTAATCGGCCCATTCGGCTCTCAATAGCCAGTACGTAGCGGTTCCAGCATGCCACTGTTTATTTGCATAAATTACTCCACTTGGATAACTGAAGGAACATTTTACTCTGTGAAATCCATTAAGTATCCAGAATCTAGATTTAATACATTTTTAGAGCAAAATGTTTTGCTTTCTTTTCCTAGGTTAAATGCCATATCAAAGGTTCCCTTATGTGGTGTTCTTACCTATGGTAGCATGCACAAAAAGGAATTATAAACCTCACTAGAAGCTCAGGAGGTTACCCACTGGACAATCAACATATAAGCCACCTGAGACAGAGAGTTGAATACTCGGTGCTTATTGATCCTAGAGAGGGATTTTGTACAATTCCACAACAGAGAAACGTGATTAGGTCTGCACGTATATAGGGTAATCCCAATTCCAAAGGACTTTGTGGCTTATAGAGGGCTTTTTGCAAGATGGTAAAATTTCCTATACCCAGTTTCTAGTTGTTCATTAAGACGGATTGATAGGTAGTGAAACTCAGGTCTCTAAGTCACTTTTGTTCAGTTAAATGATGCCCTTTAGTGCATCTCTCCAATTCTGTGCTGACAGAGACCCCCAGGAGCCACTAGGAGGGAGAAGTGGCATCTCAGCCCTAAGCAGTTAGGCTGTCTGTACAGCAACTCAACAACCCTGTGAAGGAGTTTCTATTATTTTCTTCTATTTTGCAAATACAGAGGAACAGAGATGTTAAATTACTTGCCAAAGGTCATGAAATTTATAAATGCCTGAGCTGGGATAAACCAGGACTGCCTGACACCTAAAGCCTCTATTAAGAATCTCCAGACTGGCTTAGGTCAGAGGTTTTAATAAAATTGTAGATATTTATTGTGTTAATTGGACAGGATGACCTGAAAGGTTTCAGTGTAAGGCAGCACTAACCTAACCGGGGTGAGGGTATATGACAGTGTTGGGGGAGGGGGGCCATGACAAGGGTGAGAAAAAAAAAAGAACGTGTCTACATGCCCTGATGCCGAATTGTGTAATCTAAGAAGCCTGTGTATTTGTAACGGGCCTTTTTTGTGAATTCAGTCAGCCTTTCAAAGTGTCTTCTGCCCCTTTTGTAGCTTATGGCTCCCTTTACATAAACTGTAAATTAGACACTAAGTTCCATGACAGCCGACTGACTATATATTTTATGCGTGGATATGGCTGATATAGTCCCATTCTAGTGGCTGAGACAGTGGGTGCTTTTCTATTTGTTCCTTACTGATGGTGGGATGATTGTAAATATCCAACAAGTAACAACAGTATGTTCTTTCCAAGATCATTCAGTCCACGATCTCATTAAATCCTCACAGTAACTCCATGAGGTAGATACCCTTTTTCTCCCTAATTTAGAGGTTTAAAAAATACCTTAGGGGAAATTTGTAACTTACTCAAGGACACAATAATAAGTGCCAGAGACTCATCAGCTTTGCTTGATATCAGAGCCTCAGCACTTAACATTATGCTATAGTCTGTTGATTGATAACGCATTTGTTGCATCTCTAAGAAAGCTCATGTTTTAAGATCGGATGAAAGAATTTCAGTTCTGTGAAGAAAGGGACTGTTTTGTTTTAACTTTATCCCCATATATTGCTCAGTAAATATTTTTGGTCCGTATACATATAAGAATGGGTAGGACAATTACTTCCATTGGAATAGGACTTACTAGAGTAGAAGATTACTGCCTCACAACAGGTTTTGTTGTTGGGTGTTGTTTGTTTTGGTTTGGTTTTGCAAGAATTTTAATAAGGATTGAGCTATAAAACCTAAATATTACAATATTTGCTGAACTGGAGAAATTCCATAATTAATTCACTGAAGAAATATTTATTTACATCCATCCAGCAAATATAATGGAGCACCTACTAAGCACCAGACATTTAATATAGGAGATATATTAGGAACGGTTGATAATAATGAGGAAACAACTATTACAGAATGTGGTGATCCATGAGGAAGACTCACCCCCCCCCCCCCCCCCCCCCCCCACCTTCCACCAAAAAATATAAAAAGATGTAGAGACCGAAAATACCTGAGGAAGAGACTGTGGTCTGGTCATGTAACGCCTCAGTGAAGTAAGGACAGTTCAGCTGACATGCTGGAGAATGCCAAGAACATGAGGAAGGAGCTTAGGGAATGGCATGTGCAACTTTCAAAAGCTTGTGGAAAGAATTTGACATATTGGAGGACTAGAAAGTTCAGCAGGTCTTCTGAGAAATGGTCTATACTGTCCTCTTACCACCACAGGATTGTACGGGGCTTCTTTACCTTACCTTTACCGTTACCTCCTTTACCACACATCATTGTGTTCAAGCACAAAGCCAACAGTCCTTTTGGTTTTGAGCCAGGGTCTAGTCTCCATTGATCATGGGAGAAAAGAGTGGTCCACAAAGTTGAAATGTTGGAGTCAACTTAATCCATGGAGATCTCTCTGTTTTTCCGGGATCGTTGAATAAATAGAGGAGGTATTTTGCTGGAAACATGAAAAGGAAGCTTCATCTATGCAGGGGATATTTCTCCCATTGGTTAGAGTGGAAAATTACTCAAGCACAAATCTGGCCAGTGGGCCTACCCAGTTCATCATGCAGCTCTGTTCCAAGGTAGCCCACATTCCAGGAAGATAAGGGGAGAACTTGCAAATACTGTCCCAAGGTCTCCTGTCACACCTTTAAGTCATTTCAACAGAAGGCACACTGTCTTCTTACCACTTTGAGAGGAACTTAGCGTTTTCCCACCTCTGCCTGCCCCTTCCCCATAACGCTGATCGGCAAGAGAAGCTGAACTGTGTAACTGCAGATGAGCCGACCACCAGAGACCTGGTGATGGGTCCAGTTCATCATGTGGAGGAACCAACCATGAGTTGAGGCTGAAGTGGTGGGTTAAATTTGTTACTGGAATTTCATTTGTGAAATGTGAACAAGTAGTCAAACAATTCTGTGAGGCTTAGCCACCAGACGAGCATAAAATGAAATCCAAAAAAAAAAAAAAAAGAAAAAAAAATGAAATCCATCGTAAGCTGAACTTCCCTTAAAAATTACATCAAAGAATATTTCTACTCTCTTCTTCATCTGGCTTTCTGGAGATGGGGACGGTGCCATTTTCCATCTGCCGGAAGCATCCACTCTCTGTGGAAATCTAATGGCGATTCCCAACCTCGGTTAAAAACTTGTTTTCCCATTTTTTTAAACTGCAAATACTTCCTAAATTGTGTGAGCCGAAGCATTGTATGTATATAATTAACTCACAGGTCCCTCTGGGCTCATCTAGCTCAACTTGTGGAGTTTAACTGAGCAAGACGTTTGCTGATGTCTCTTCCTGCAGCGACACCCACTGAAACAAATACCTTCTACAAGTGGAAAAATGGGCAAATTTCTTTTCCAGTTTGGCTTTACGAAGCTGTGATGTTCGTGATGTTTACTGGTTTCATAACAGTAGTGATCAAATTTTCTTTCAAGTACAGGTTTTGTAATTTTCGAAAACGTGGGGGAGAGGGTGGTGGGGGGAAGGTGGGGAATTTTGCATTTTCCTCCTAGGTGAAGCAGGGAGGCAGGCCTCTTTTTTTGTATTAATTGGATCCTCGAAGTCCCCTCAGGGTAGCAGTGGCTCTCTGTGGGCACAGGCCCCAAGGCACCTTCCGTGTTGGGAGCAAATATGAGCGGTTCCTGCAGGGTTGTGCCTTGTTCACAAGCAAGACCTACAGCCGGGCCTGCAGCGTTTGTCCAAAACAAAGCGCAAAGGGCTAGGGAAGGTGGACTTTTCCAGAGTGACTGTGTTGGCTAGCTTCGTAAGTCAGCCCTCTGCTTCCCTCTGCCTGTGTGGACACCGACGCCCACAGTTAGAAGCGGGTGTTGACTCTGTTTGGAATGGGGAAGTCGGACGTGGTGGCAGAAAAGTTCTGGCCCCTGCCCCGCTTTCTATTCCTAGCACAGGAGGCTTCAATTAAGCCATGGCAGCCCTTCTTCCCATTCTCTCCTCGCCGAGGCTTCCAACCCCAGGCCTCGCCCTTTAACTTGATTGAGGCACCGCAGACCTCGCACAGGGGTGAGCAGAAAGGGACCTGGATGCAATCTCCCTGCCTACCCAAGAGGGACCTACTTCTCTCTGCGGTGCTGAAGCGCAGGTGTCCGGAGCACGGCAGCGAGCGGGGGACTCCGGGGGCTAAAGAAAAACGCCGCCCTTGGCTGCGTGGCGCCGGAGGAGGGCGGTTGCCGGAGCGCGTCTCTGGTTTTCACGTGAACCCGCCAGCTCGCTGCTTTGCTGCCCAGGTGCCGGTTCGCGGCTGCGTGCGCCCCACTGCAGCAGAGAGCAGCCGCAGCCTCTGCCTCGGCCACCAGCGCGGCTGGGGAAGAGTCCTGGGGCTGCTGACGCGGTTGGGAGGAGCCTCGCCTTTAATGCACCAGCCGCCTCCAGCCTCCTCCTGCAGCAGCGGCAGCGGCTGCGAGTGCGCGCGTGTGGGTGTGAGGGCGAGTGCGCTGGCGCCGGCCGCAGCGCCCTGCCCAGCTCCCCGCCGCCTTCCTCACCCCCGCCGGCCGGAGCCGCCCTCCCGTGGGACCGGCACCCTGCTCCGGGCCGGGCCAGCCCGAATCCGGCCCCTGCCGTCTCGCCACTGCAGCTCGGGTCCAGAAAGGCACCATTTTGTCGCGGCCGCCCGCTCTCCCAGGGGGAGGAGGGACCTTTTTTGCATTTTGGAGCGGCTGCCAACGTGGGGAACCTGTTGGGCATCTCCCCAGCCCCGCTTGTGAGCGCCTCCCGGGCGGCGGGCGGGCCCGGACCCCTCGGGGCACGGCGCATCTTGGCACCCGGCGGCAGCGGAGCCGGGCGCAGCATCCTCGCTGGGAATTGGAGCTGGAGTGAGCGCACCGCGGGAGGAGCCGCCGCAGCCTCGGAGATCCCGAGTGGAGGAGGTGACAGCTCCATTGCCGGGTTTTTATTTTTTTTCTCTCCGCCTCCCCGTCTCCTCCTCAGGCTCGGACCATGGTGCAGTCCCACCGGCTCCCCTGCCCCCCTCTCCTGTGAGACTGGCTGCGGGGAGGGATCATGGATACTTGTCTGCCGGCTTCTGGTTCCCACGCAAGTAAGCCTGCTGTCAATGGAGGAGGACATTGATACCCGCAAAATCAACAACAGTTTCCTGCGCGACCACAGCTATGCGACCGAAGGTAACGCCAGCCCCGCCGCATTCCGCCGCTGGGGCCGGGGCGCAAGTTGCGGATCGCCGGGCTCGGCGGGCAGCTGGGCGCCGAGCGGCGGAGACTCCTCCGGGCCCGGGGCTGGGGCGGGGGCTCGGCCCGTGGGGGCAGCGGCCGGTGCGCCCCACATCCATCCGGGCTCCGCGAGACGAGCCCGGCGTTCAGCAGCAGGTGGACCCGGCGCCCACGGGAGTTAAAATGGCCCTCGGGGATTAGGCTTTTCAGGGTGGGGCTCCCGACTGGAAAAATGACCCCCTGAAGGCAGATAACCCCTCCCCCGAGATGTTTGCCGGAGTCTTGCGGGGGAGACGAGGAAGGGGCCCGGAAGGATCGTAGGTCTTCCCCTCCCTGAGCGGAATGATGTTGTGTCTCTCGGTGGCTGCAGGGAGGGCATGGTTTCATTTCCTGCCCGTCTCTCTCTCCGGCCGGGTTACCTGCTCAGACAATCAGAAGCTTAAAGGGCCTTTTGCAAAGGGGCGAGCCCCTCTCCCCTTGGAGGTGCATTAGCAAGAACTAAAAAGGTAGCTGGGGAGACCGCTTTCCAGCAGCGAGCGAACGAGTCCGACACGTGGGGCGAGCAATGCGATCAGTGGGGCCTTTAAAATCACCATTATGAATTCTGCAGCAGTAGTTTCTGCTGAATCAACAGCCAGCAGAAAGCAAGAGGGTTCAGTAAGCTGAGCTTTGCCAAGAGGTGAAATTGTCGTCTCTCTCTCTCTCTCTCTCTCTCTCTCTTTCTCAGCGTGTTCTGGCATTAGCAGGCAGGCACGGAAAGTCAGCAGGTGGAATCTCATTCTGCCTTTTGTGTGTGAATAGAGAGTAGAGGCATTTTTTCCCCCCAAATGCCCAAACTTTTACGTCTTCGGTTTCATTTTCTACCTGTAGGCCCTTTCCTTAACCGCGCATAGAAAGTGTTGCATTATCACGTTGTAATATCCACGTGAGAAAACGTGTGTGAAGGGGCTTTAGGAAAATGTAGCAAGGTATGTTAATTTAAGATGATTCTTGTTATCCTTGGATACTAAATTTTCTATAATACTTAATCAGATCAATACTCCCAGGAAAAATGTGATGGGGATGGGGTAGGAAAGGAGTTCAAACTCTGAAAGAAATAAAGAAGCACACAATGTGGGGGCAAAGGTGGCATCGTCCATAAACATCTCTGTAAATTTTAGATTAAAAAGAATGCCCAGTGCTGTTGAAATATATTCTCCATTCATCATCATTATTGGAAAGCATCCAGCCTAATATGTCCATGGTGCTAGACAGATTAAGCAGACTTGTATGTGCTCTGGCATTCAGGAGCTTAGAGATGGCTTTTAAGATGTTCAGCCTGTCCCTCCCCCATACAACCACCATACTCGCTGATTCTTGTTATTTGCAGGCTGACAAGGTGGCTCTAAGATGTTCTTTCTCAGTCTTAAGTGCTTTGTCACTGACTTATTTACCAGGTAGATTAGGACTTGCTGTGTGTCTGAGCATGTTATCCAAGACAGAAGTTGGCCTTGGGTCTATTGGTTTTTGGGGGGGGGATGTTTCTTTCTGTTTGTGACAACAAAGAAAGAGGGCTGTCTTCGTATTTTCTTGTGTTGTATTATGCCTCTAAGTGCCGACACAGGAAACTTACTGAGCTGGGAAGATGGGCAAATTGGGGCCGTGTGTATAGGGCCATGATAGGAGTATCATCTTAGTGCTTTCAGGGCCTTAGATATTACCTAATCTCTGTTCTTATTTTATGGTGTTTTGGGGAACTCTGATTCTGGTTAAAATATCTGGGTTCATATAGTCAAAACTGAGGCATGAGTTTATAGCAAAGAGCTCTCTCAAATGTTTCTAAATCAATCTCTCAGGAAATTCTATCACACACACGTAACAATGAAAACTAAACAAAACCTTTATTTCACAGTAAACCTTCAGGTTTCTTGATCTTAGTGAAAGTCTGGTAAGAAAAAAAAAATGGAACTTGGAAAATGTAAATGGCAGAAGTTGGGTAGAGAGGGAAGTTCTCTTTTCTCAATAGATGTGGTCTTCATCTATTCATTTTAGGGACCATTCATGCAGTGGTGCTGGCCAGAGGGGGGATAGTCCATCCTTGTCTTCTGATGAATACCTTGGAAGTGCCAAGTACACCAGGAAAGACCACCAGATCAAAATAGTCTTTGTTCAAATCCTGTTAGTTGAGGGCTTGCCCCCAAAGTTCCTTCCTCCTTTATTAACTTAAATCCACTGCCTCCATAATCTGACCTTAGTTTCTGGGTCCTTCTATGGACTTCGCTTTTCTTTTGTCTTCTTTAATATTTTGGCATTTTCCTACCTAGCCAGATATGTCAGGGTTTGGTGGGTTTTTGTTTTTTTTTTCTTTTCCTCCAAAATCTCCTTCACATTTATCTCTGAATTTTTCTTTGCTTTGCTCAGATCATTCCACACTGCAGTATTCTATTTAAAGCTGAAAGGTTTTTGCTGTGTAGTTAGTGTGAAGGACTCTAAGCTCAATTTGCATTGTAAGTGGTAGCTGCGGGCAAGTTCCGCCAGCTAAGAGCAATGCAAATGCTAAAGGACACTTTTACCCCAGCTCTCCCCTCTTATTTTCTCTCTCTCTCCCTCCTCCCTCTCTGTCTCTCTCCCTCCCTCCCTCTCTTCCCTCCCTCCCTCCCCTCCCTCCCCTCCCTCCCATGGGGAAGAAAAAAGATTGCATGATGTGTTTTTATTAAAGATATTTCCTATGACTCTTTTATTCTGGGCATCAAAGTTACCACCCTCACCAATCTTCCTCTGTCTTTTTTCCCTTTTTAAAGTTAACATCTTTGAGCATCTTCTATTTTCAGTGCACTTGCTGAGCTTTTTAAATAGAGCATTTCAATATCTCCAAGTCCTGCTAAGTAGATGCTATTAACATTTTCAAATAAGGAAACTGGGCAACTGAGGCCCACAGATGGTACTCATTTGTGAGGGTCACACAGATGAGCAGAAAGCTTGTCTTCAAACTCAAGACCCTTTTTAGGCATATGCGCCTCCATGAGGAAATTCTGCACTGCCTCATTTTCTTTCCTTCACCCATTACCTCCTGTTATGAGAAGACCACAATGGTTTTATCGTTGTATGTAAATTGTGTTCCCATCTGGTGTAAAATTCTTGGCAAGGATCATTTGAATGTGTGTATATGGGATTATATGTGAGGAAAAGTGGGGTTGGAATGACTACAAAAATAAAGTCAACACAGTGTTTTTACTGTTTTGTTTTGTTTTGTTTCAGATATGGAACTCTGGGTTTCCTAACCAAGGCTTCATCTCTCAAATCTCTCTGATCTATATGTGGATTTCTTTCTTTCTTTTCAGACTTGTTAGAACTGGCTAAAACCCTTTCTTCATTAGGGCATTTTGAGAGTTATCTACATTAATTTTCGTACTCTGACACTGGGCCACAGATAGAATAAATATTTTTTTATAGGTGAGTTTACAGAAATGGCAATCTGGTTAGAAGAGGAAGTCAGAGAACACGTTTTAAAATTATTCTGTTCTCAGTTTCCTTAGCTGTAAAATGGGAATAACAATAGAACCTATGCCATAGGAAAAAAAATTAATACAGGGAAAGCACTAAATACCATTAGTGCTAGACCTCCGTAAATGTTCTCAATACGTTATAGCTATATTTGCATAGCAAACACACTTTTTCCTTGGTTTGTGTGTTGATTTGGGATGATCCTGAGGGTAATGGCTAGTGGAAATGGCAGAGAAGTCACTAAAACCCACCAGTCTCTTCTCAATTCAAGTGCCCCCCATGGATCTTGCCGTTGAGTAATTTGTTTTAATGTACTTGCTGGTTGTATTCTGGCAGCTAATAAGTTCCATCTTCTCTAAGAGGCCTTTCAAAACCTGTATTGTTGACACATTGTAAAAGAAGAACAAATTTACTTATTTCATGTATTTTTTATTATTATGTATTATTATATAATTATTCATTAATTCTGCCTGTAATTTCTTCCACAAACATAGTTGACTGTCTGCACAGGTGATCCAGCATGGTCCAATACAGACATGATATTAGTCTGGTGCAGGAGGCAGACATTAAATATTTTTGCAAATAAATACATAGTTACCAATTGTGATAAGTGATAGAAAAAGCATAACATGCTTTGAGATCATATAAAACGCAGGAAGGTGGATCTAATTTAGTTTGGGGGACTAGGGGAGGCTCCTCAGAGGAAGTTTTAAGTTGAGAACTAAAGAATAAGTCAGGCATTAACAAGAGCTAAAGACTGGAGTTAGAAGAGATAATAGGTACCAGGCCCAGAGATATGAAATAGTCTGACGGATTGAAAGACTAGAAGGCTGCCTGTGGCTAGAATATAGGGAACAAGAGGAAGCAGCAATGAAAACGAGACCAAAGCCTGCAGCTTACTTTGAATGCACCAAAACCAGGAAAGATCCATGCTAGGATAGAGGGATGGATGAATGGATAGATATATGATATAGCAAGTATGAAATGTTAATGGTAAAATTGAGGTGGTCTGTCAATGGATAGCCACTGTAAATTTTTTTTCCAAGTTTGATGTCGGTTTGAAAATATTCATAATAAAATGTTACAAAAGAGAGACTGGAGAGGTATTCAGAGACCAGATCGCATTGAGCCTTGACCATAAGGAGTTTGGACTTTATCCAAAGATGGATCGAAAGCCATTAAAGGATTTTGATCAAGGGGGAAATATGATCAGGTTTGTTTTTTTTCAAAGCTCCCTCTAGCTGCTATGCAGGGTGGGGTCAGAGGGCTGGGTAGGAAATGAATAGGAGTGAAAGAAATAATTGGGACGCCACAGCTGTACTCTAGGATAGTGGCAGCAGTAGAGATGGAGAGAATTAGATGACTTTGATACACTGTAGAAGAAGAATGGATAGGACTTACTTGGTGTGATTCGGTGGAGATAGAGAAGTAAATGGGGATGAGTGTCAAGGACAACTTTAGGACTTTGCCAT